TTTTTTTTTTTTTTTGAGACGGAGTCTTGCTCTGTCACCCAGGCTAGAGTGCAGTGGCATGATCTCGGCTCCCTGCAACCATCTCCTCCTGGGTTCAAGCAGTTCTCTGCCTCAGCCTCCCAAGTAGCTGGAATTATAGGAGCCCCCCACCATACCTGGCTAATTTTTTTTTTTTTTGTATTTTTAATAGAAACAGGGTTTCAACCATCTTGGCCAGGCTGGTCTTGAGCTCCTGACCATGTGATCCACCTGCTTCGGCCTCCCAAAGTGCTTGGATTTACAAGCATGAGCCACCACCCCTGGTCGGAAATGTATATAGTTTTAAATCTCTGACCATCATTTGCCATCACGTAGTCCCCCAGCCACACTCTATAATTTTAAAAGTGCTTTATTTTCTTCCTAGTGCTTATCACTGTCTGAAGTTACCTTGTTTTCAGTTACTTTTTTATAGTTTGTCTCCCCCACCCACTTCAGGCTGTATTTAGCCTAGCATAGTGAATGTCTGGCACATGGTAGGTATGCAGTAAGTATTAGAAGGAAGGAAGGAACATTTTCTTGGAATACCGGTAACTGTTCAGGTATGTTGTGGGTTTTTAAAATTTGTTTCACTTTTCATTTCTGAGAAAACAGAAATCTGTCCAAACCAGTCTTTCCTGGCCTCCTTTCTTCAGCTTAGGTCCTGACTGTTGGGAAGAATGAAGATGAATCCTATTCTGAGTCTCTTTCCTCTCTTCCACCCTAGCTTGCCAGCAAAGCACGGACAGAGAAGGAGGAGAAGCTGAGCCAGGCCTATGCAATCAGTGCTGGTGTCTCTCTAGAGGGCCAGCAGCTCTTCCAGACCATTCACAAGACGTGAGTTGGGGGATCGGAGAGGTCTTTTGTCCTGGGGTAATGCTACCTGGTTGTGCTGTCTGGTGGCAGGCTTTTGGGTGGTTGTCTCCTAAAAGTCTACTGGGGAAGCTGGTAGGGTATTGGCAAAATGCCGGCATCCAGAGCTGCGGGTACTGTAGCCCCCTTTCCACACAGAAAAATAGTGTAATCACAGACAAGTTGTCTTCTCTGGTCTTCAGTTTCTTGTCTGTAAAACTTAGTTTTGGATTATATCACTTTTCCCAATGTAGATTGGGATGAACACGGAGTTAGAGCAGGTCACCTTCTTACCACCTCTTAAAAGACATTTTGTTGGTCAGGTGCGGTGGCTCACGCCTGTAATCCCAGCACTTTGGGAGGCTGAGGCGACAAATCACCTGAGGTCGGGAGTTCCAGAGCAGCCTGACCAACATGGTGAAACCCCCATCTCTACTAAACATACAAAATTAGCCAGGCATGGTGGTGCATGCCTGTAATCCCAGCTACTCGGGAGGCTGAGGCAGGAGATTTGCTTGAACCCTGGAGGTGGAGGTTGCAATGAGCCGAGATCGTGCCACTGCACTCCAGCCTGGGCAACAAGAGCAAAACTCTGTCTCAAAAAAAAAAAAAAAAGACATTTTGTCACAGCAGAAGTCATTTGACTCTCCACTAGCTTCCCTAGCTGCTGAAAAACTAGAACATTTGACACCCCTCTCCACCCCCGCTCCCCACCCCACACTGCCTTCTGTTACTCTGTTTAACCACCCTGGATCTGGTGCACAGATGGCAGCTGGCATCAGAGCTGTTTGAGGCCGTGGTGTGAGTATCTGAACATTTACAGGTATGTGAAGGAACTCTCAGTCGCATCAGCTGCCCTGGGGCTTCCCAAGTGTGAACTGGAATGGGTTTTCCCAGTCTGGCAAGTGCCCAACTGTCTGATAATTGAGAAGAGCCAGTCTGAAGAGCAGCTCCCATTATGGGTGATAGGGTCAGAGAAGATGGGGAGTTTGTTCTCTTTTTTTTTTTTTTTTTTGAGTCAGAGTCTCACTCTGTCGCCAGGCTGGAGTCCAGTGGTTCAATCTTGGCTCACTGCAATCTCTGCCTCCCAAGTTCAAGCAGTTCTCCTGCTTCACCCTCCCGAGTAAGTGGGACTACAGGCGTGCAGCCTCACGCCCAGCTAATTTTTGTATTTTTAGTAGAGACAGTGTTTCATCATGTTGGCCAGGATGGTCTCCATCTCCTGACCTCATGGTCCGCCCTCTTTGGCCTCCCAAAGTGCTGGGATTACAGGCGTGAGCCACCACGCCCGGCCTCTCTTTTTTTTTGATACAGGGTCTCACTTTTATCGCCTAGGTTGAAGTGCAGTGGTGCAATTTTAGCTTACTGTAGCCTCGATCTCCTCGGCTCAGGTGATTCTCCCACCTCAGCCTCTGGAGTAACTGGGACTACAGACGCATGCCACCACTACTGGCTAATTTTTTGTATGTATTTTTAGTAGAGACGAGTTTTTGCCATGTTGCCCAGGCTGGTCTCCAACTCCTGGACTCAAGCAGTCTACCCGCCTCAGCCTCCCAAAGCGCTGAGATTACAGGTGTGAGCCACCACGCCCAGCCTGTTCTCCTGTCTTTCTAAAGGTGGTGTTTCTCCCTAGGCCAGTGGTTGGCAAACTATGCCAGCACACCAGATCTGCTCCTCTGTTTTACCTATTGTCCATGGCTACTTTTGCACAACTGTGGCAGAACTCAGTGCTAGTTGTAACAGACGATATGGCCTGCAAAGCCTAAAATGTTTGTTAAGAGATCCTCAAGAGAAAAAGTTTGCCAGCCTCTGCCCTAGGCTACTATCTTAGTTTGGATTCTTGAGGCTACCATCACATTTTTATGACTCTCCAGGTCTCTGATGCTTCAGAGTAACAATTTCTGGGCTCTCCCAAGAATAAATGTGCATGAGTTTCATTGCTTTTCTAGCCAGTGGCACCCAAGGAATGTTTCTTGGCTACTATATGGGCTGCTGGTGTCTAGTTGTTGGCTGAGTGGTGAGCTGGGAACTTGGGATCAGCCGTCTGGAGTTATTTATTCATCAGACAGGAGATGTGGGATGCCCCCAAGAGGTTACATTTCGCCTGCTGTCTTCTCCTTCCAGCATTAAAGACTGTAAATGGCAAGAAAAAAACATCGTAGTCATGGAAGAAGTTGTTATTACACCCCCATATCAAGTGGAAAACTGTAAAGGCAAAGAGGGGAGTGCACTGAGCCATGTACGCAAAATAGTAAGTAAAGGAGCCTTGAAACTTTAGGGGAGAGAGGATGGTTCCTTGGGCCTTCAGCCTTTAGCACCAGAGCAGGACATTGTGCTACAGTCTCTGCCTCCTGTAGCATCACTGTCTGGCCTCCCTGCACTCTGGGGCTCTGCAGCTGTGGCTTGGCTACTCCTGTGGGAATGGAACCACTGGGTGATATGGAGTGAAGTGAGTGGGTGACCCTATGTCCTTTGCTGACTTTTTGGAATTAGCAAGGCTGTTCCGTGGTGTTGGGCCCGAGCAGTTTCTCTCATCCCATATTGAGTTTTTCTTTTTTAGAGACAGAGTCTCGCTCTGTCGCCCACACTGGAGTGCAGTGGCGCGATCTCGGCTCACTGCAAGTTCCGCCTCCCGGGTTCAAGCGATTCTTCTGCCTCAGCCTCCCGAGTACCTGGGACTGCAGGCATATTCTACCACACCCAGCTAGAGATGGGGTTTCACCATGTTGGCCAGGCTGGTCTCGAACTCCTGACCTGAAGTGATCTACCCACCTCGGCCTCCCAAAGTGCTGGGATTGCAGGTATGAGCCACCATGCCTGGCCCCATACTGGGTTTTTCTTAGCTGCAGATACCCTTCTAGAAAGATCTGGTTGGTATAAATCAGTTGCTGATGGTGTCTCTGGCCCTGCATATGTCATCAGACTTAGCATTTGTTAAAACAAACTTACAAAACACTCCTGCTTTTTTTTTTTTTTCCTCTGAGGAACATTGAGAGACCAACATTATAGATGTAGGAGGTATGATAAGACTGTAATCCCCCCACCAGCTTTTCATTTTGTACTTGTGTATAGCAGAGAGTAGGAGTTTAGGTCATGATTATCTCCCCTCATTGTATTTTATAGTTTAGTTTGTAGATTCACCTTCTTCTAGCCAATCTTAGTGGAAACTGCAAAAAAAACGTAGCTGCAGCAGGAGGCCCTGGCCTACCTTGTGGTTGGGAAGGCCAATAGACAGCAAGGGCAAAGGTGCCTGGATAGTACATGGGCTGGACAGCCAGGATGGGGCTGTGGAAACCTGGGTTGGATTGTTCGGGAGACCTTTCTTGCCCATCTCCTTTATTGACCTGTGTTGCCTGGTCTTTTTCAGGTTGAAAAACATTTTAGAGACGTGGAAAGCCAAAAGATACTGCAACGTTCACAAGCCCAGCAACCACAGAAGGAGGCTGCCCTGTCATCCTGAGTCCGTACACATGGAGGACTCTTCCAGCATCCAGCCAAGGAGGCGCTGGTGGTGGCTTCAGCGGAGGCAGGCCGGGGGAGGGAAGGGATCCTATATGTCCTGTTGGCTCTTAACAAAGGGTCAGCATTTCCAAATCTTAGACTTGAACAAACAAAACACCCAACAAAAAAGAACAAGAGAATAATTTAAAAGTTGAATCATTACTTGACTAACAGACTTCGGTCCACCATGTCCTTTTCACAGCCCTCTTCTGGAACAGTCACCTTGTTAATTTTATTTTTGAAAATTCTTTTCCCACTCTGCCCTTTTACTTCCAACTTTCCTTTCCTAGTCTGTTCCTGCCATTCTGTTTTTATAAGTGGCTACACTTGCCTTCTGAATGATTGAAAGAAACTTTTACATCTTTTCTTCCAAAATAAAAGTAACAAGCTGACTGTGATTCTTAAGTTGAGACCAGAGCAGCAAAGGTCTCACTTTAAAT